CACTGGTAGGGAAAACCCTAATTTTCCGGGCTTTGCACCCTATATAAAGAACTTATGGCTCATTTGTGGCCTCCCTCATCGTCCTTACAGTCAAGAGAAACCCTAGTTCGAGCCTTATACTTTCTTGAGTGTGTGTGAGAGCCTTGGAGAGAGTGATTTTGGGGTGATTGTTAAGGAACTTGGAGCTTGAAGAGGTTGGAGTAAAGGGAGAAGCAGTAGATACGACATCTACTATGTTTTGGCAACCATCTTGAGGTATAAAGTTGATACCTTGACCTCTTATTGCTTAGATCTCCTCTTATGAAAGTATATGGTCACTTTTGGTGCATAATGGAGTCATTCTCGGATTTGAACTTGTCATAACGATATGGTTTCAGATCTGGACACCTCTAGGCCTCCATGGACATAAAGTTGCCGACTTTATCTAGTCTTGGCCCTCCTCCATGCCCTAAAACTTTTATTAATCTTAGTTTTAATGTTTTAGCCTCTTGAGGCCTTGCATGCACATAAAGTTAGAAACTTTATGTGGTATTTTAGTCCTAAGGGATTGGATATGTAGTTTGGGGCTGTAGATTCGACCGGAAGGGACTGAATATGTTAAGATATGGAAAACTCGACGAGTTGCCCTGACAAATTGACGAGTTGGATAGGGTTTTCCCGCCTTCTGGATACAGAGCGAACTCGGTGAGTTGATAATATAACTCAGCGAGTTGGCTAGGGTTTTTCCCGGTTTGCTGAACACTGAAGGAACTCGATGAGTTGCTAGATGCACTTGACGAGTTGGGTCAACATGGACAGTTGACCTTGACTTTGACCATGGTTGACCAAGATTGACCTTAAGGGTATCTTTGGTATTTCAGGATTTTGACAAAGTTAGTCACATGGTGTTTGTAGGCAGTTGAGTTGGAGCTGTAGATTGGGTTTGACTTTTATCGGTTCAGCACTTCTTGAGAGGTGAGTCTCCTCACCATACAAATGGGTCTAAGGCACCAAGGCCGGCCCATTCAGTTAGTTGTAGTGATTATTGTGGATTCACTACTGATATGTCTGGTATGCATGTATATGTGAATGTGCTAGTACTTTGTTGAGTAGATATGTGAACACCCCGGGGGGGGGGGGGGGGAGCCCGTGGCAGTTGGTTACAAGACCATGTGGGGGAGCCCGTGACATTCCAGGTAAAGATCATGAGGGGGAGCCCATGACAAGTAGTTAAGATCATGTGGGGGAGCCAATGACACATAAGACTAAGACCCTGGGGGTAGACCTGGCAATTTCATACACGACACGGTTAACACGACACGAACACGATACGAGTTTTCCGTGTATGTGTTTTATAAATTTGTGTTTCGTGTTTATTCGTGTCTGACACGTATTTTAAATTCGTGTTTCGTGTCTTACACGTGTCAAACACGAATTTACCTGTTTAGACACGTATAAGACACGATACAAATTCGTGTTGACACGTGACACGTACAAACACGTATAAACACATATATACACACATATATATATATATACTTTAGGGTTAAATTTTGTATTTATAATATATTATGGACCAATTTTGTAAAATTCAATAACTAGTTTATAGCCATAGCTTAAAAAAAGCCATTAAAAACGTGTCTATTCGTGTTTTCGTGTAACACGGCTAAAAAACATGTTTATTCGTGTCGTGTCACGTGTCACACGATTTTTTTACGTGTCGTGTTCGTGTTTGATACCCCAAACACGTTTTATAATTCGTTTCGTGTTTAACAAATTCGTGTCGTGTAAATTCGTGTCTGACACGAATACACGACACGCAGACACGGATTGCCAGGTCTACCTGGGGGGAGCCCATGACATCCTGGAATAAGACCCTGGAGGGAGTCCATGCCATCCATANNTATATATATATATATATATATATATATATATATATATATATATGTGTGTGTGTGTGTGTGTGTGTGTTATGTAGTATGATAGTTATTCTATGATATATTGTATGCTAGTTGACTTTGTGTTATTGCAAGGAAGGCCCTGGGGGGAGCCCGTGGCAGTCGGATATCAGACCATGTGGGGGAGCCCATGACATGTAGGTATAAGACCCTAGGGGGAGCCCACGACATCCCTGTATGTTTGTATACATCGCTTATGTGGTTTATGTAGCTTATAGCTAATATGGATTATGTGGATTGTGTGGGGTATGCTCTGGGGAATTCATCAAACATTAGCTTACAGTTTGTTGATTGTTTCAGGTACTTCAGAGCCTAAGGGAAAAGGGAAAAGTTTGATGGCGCGGCATGCACTCTCCGGCATTTTATATGGGGACACTCTGATATTTTGAATAAAATGTTGATGTTATGGATTTTGAAAACATATGTTATTGAGATTTCATGTCTTATGGGAATGTTTTGATTAATTAAAAATGAAAAATTTATTTAGAAATTTGAGTCGTTACACTTGGAATACCGTAGTGATGGCTGTTGACGCGCAGAAGACTATGTTTGGTCTGGTTGTATGCCAAAATGTCAGAAAAGTAACGTTCACCTTTTCTGACATTGTGTGTTAGACGAGTTTTGTTAGACCAGGCGTGACAAGCATGTTCGCCTGACTTAGGAGTATTCTATTATTTATCATGTACTCAGTTTTACTATAAATAGATGATCATGTTGATCGATTTATTCACCACTTCTCAGACTTTCATTATATTACTCCTTATTGAATACAAGTCTTCGTTATCCTCATTATCTCTTACTTATGTTGTTCATCATTTACTAACTTGTGTTTGAATGCAAACCTTGTTACGATTCAACTAAGTGTTATTACTTGTTTATGCTTACTGATTAATCTTGTTGCTGTATTCTTCCTTATTATTTCACATATTTCTTTATTGTTGAGCTTATTAAAAGATCCATTGAGATTAACTTACATTTATGCAAATCAATATCTCAACCTAAGTTTTTCTCTCAACAATATATTCTTATAAGAAATTAGCTAACCTGAAACTGGTCACCAATATTGACAACAAATGGATTAAGGGTGGGTTTATCAATAACCCGTCTGCCATTGTGTTGTATTTGAAGAACCTTCAACTTGGTCCTGAAGCAGAAGTATAAGCAACCTATAGTTGGAATGAGGTGGGAGACCAAGTGTGAGATCAGGTTGTGGGTATGTAGGGTAACAATTCACGATGATAAGCTGATTACCATCTTTCTAAATCACTTTCTCATCGTTAACCCTAAGGCTTTCGAGTATTGCATCCATTACCCTTTCATACAAATATCTTGTTTTCATTGAGTACTCACCTACTGCTTCCCTCTTAGAATATAAATATCATTAGAACTAAGACTATCAAAGCATATTGAACTGGTCAAAAGTTTATGGACTAATGAGAGCTTAGCAAACACAATGGAAAGTAGATAAATATCCAAGTGATCTAATTTGAGTTATATATAAGGAGTCAACTGAAAGACAGTTTGGGTGTAACTATCAGGCCTAAATTCATTCGCTTAGAGCTCTAAATTCAAAAGTTTTGGTTTTATCAAGATTTCAAGTTTAACTATTTCTGTTTTATTTTTGTGTACAAGTAGAGTTTTACCTCAAATCAACAGGAGGAGAAGGCCAAAGAGGAGCAAAATCTTGCATGGTTGGGGGCAATAAGTTATGATCTCTGTCCTCGTAAGCAGATTTAGCCAAGGTCTCGAACTGGCCTGATAATGTTTGTGCAATTAATAAATGAGGCATCATCCTTTGGAGTTTTCAAAAGATTGAACGTTTTTTACATTTGCCTACTTGAGAGGGAATCCCAATCTGTTTTGACACTCACCTCGTGTGAAGCTTGCAGTGCCGAAGGAAGAAGATGGAGATTGCAGCGCCAAATGAGGAAGAACAAGCACATAATTTGGAAACAATTCCATGAGATATTTCTCTCTCTTCAATATTTTTTTCTTTAAAGGAAGGGTATATTTGTTATTATATTAATTTTTGAGTGGAAATAGTAAAAGATTCAATGAAATAATCAACACCTTTATAACATGCATTAAAATTTGGAATGCGAATCTAGATATCAACAAACCATTATTATTTTTTTTGGGCAAAAATACATGCGATATCCTTTTCATTGAAGTGGATATCATAATCATGTTTTGTGATGATGATCCAAGGGACAAACGTGTAATTAAGAAATTGTTTTCATTTTTGGAAGGAATTTTTTTTAGTATTAATGACATTCATAATATATTGAATTTTATAAAATGTTTTGTATTGTAACATTATTATTTTATTTTATTTTTATATAAAGATGACAAATCACATCAATCATAGGAGGACTAACAAGATATTTCTCTCCCTCTTCCGACGAAAAACAACACACTTATTTTTGTCTTTATTTTTGATATTGGATTCTTTATTTCACAATAGACTGAATTCTATAAAGTTTAAACGAAACGAAACATTTCAATAAAAAAGTTTTCCCATAAATAGTTAAAAGAAGGTCGATCACTTGGCATTTTAATATATTTGAATTTAAAAAGTTAAAACGTATTACTTCTACAAAATTTGATAGATTGTCACTTAAGCTTTTTTTTTTTTCACATGATTTTACCAATTAATTGCTATAATGGATTAAACAAAGTTTAATAAAAATTTAAAATTTTGTGGAATTCTCAATTAGCAAGTTAATTAGCTATTGGCATTAAATACGTTATTTGCATCCACTATACTTAATTCACTAATACCAACTACACGTTAATGTATTAAAATCTATTGAGTTTAATAGATTGACATACAACTCTATTAATATTTTTCTACAATCTATTGAACTTTATAAAAATTAATATGGAACATTAGCAAAACTAATTTATAATATTTATTTAAAGATTTTAAGCTTTTCCTTTTCTTATTGAGGAATTCAGTGATCATTGAAAGACAACTAAACATGCCATCTCATGCAACTCTTCTGTCAAACCATTTTGACGCAGCTATGCTGATACTCTAATTACAATTCTAATTATCATAACGCAACCAATTAACGGGTGTCGAATACAATCACTGCTCAACAATTTTGTAAGGTAAAGTAATGAGTTTAGTGGTGATCAGCAATGAGAGGGTGTGTTTCAAGTGAAAAACATTCTGCCTTCACCAACTGATCAACCTCATCTTCGGTAGATATTGATATGATTTCTTCAAGATTTGCTTCCATTGAGTTTTTAGCATCATCCTTGCAGCTGGTCGCTGTGAATGACGGATTAGCCGGTAAACAGCAAGAAGAAAATGGTGATGGTTTTGCCAGTTCTCTGGCTCTTTCCACTTGAACAATCCAATCTGTTGTAAAAAGAACATACAGCATGAGCAAGACACATGTTCCCTGGGCTGCAAGCAATCCCAGCCAAAATCCGGCGAATCCCATTTTCATGGCGAACCCCATCACTATAGCTACCGGCATCCCCACCAAATAAAATGATCCCAAATTAATATTAGCTCCCACGGTTGGGCGTGCACTACCTCTCAAAACACCGCAACCGGTGGTCTGAGGGCAGTTCCCGAGCTCGCATAGTCCAGCCACCGGCAATACCATCGATGTGAGCTCAAGAATCTCTGCATCTGCGGTGAAAAATCTCCCCCACCGATGTCTCATCAATATAGTAAACAACATTGCCGTAAAACCCATCCCGGCGGCGCAAACGAGCGAAACGATCATTGAAACACGTGCTTTGGCGGGCCGGTTAGCTCCGAGCTCGTTCCCAACTCTTGTTGAAACCCCAAGACTCAACGCCGACGGAAAAACGTAAACTAACGACGTTGTTTGAATAAGAATCCCCATTGATGCGACGGTGGCCCTAGGGCTTGACAATAATCCACATAATATTATCATTAATTCATACCACCACCACTCTAAACACACGGACACACACGTGGGAATCGCAAGTGCCAGCAACGACGACCAACCGCGTAAACAGTCGATGCTCGGCGACACCCATGAATCCCGGTGGACGCCTGTGAGGTAAACGACGGTGATCAGAAGGAATAACAAGTTTAAATTAGTGATGACCACCGCCACCGCCACCCCAGAAACTCCCATCTTGAAGTACCCCACCAGCAAATAATTCAACGGTACATGAAGAAGCACAGAAACAGCCGAACAGTAAGTTAACGGCAGCGTAATGTTTTGTGTCCGGAGATAAACACGAAGAGGGTGTAAAAGGGACAACACAAAGAGATCTGGTATCGCGAAAACAATGAAAGTTTGAGCCGTTTCGGAGATGTCATCATCTTGGCCACACCATAACAAGATTGTCTTCATGTTAAGCCACATGAAAGAGATTGGAAGAGAAGTTGAGAGGAGCAAAAGAACTGTTCTCTGTAGAGTAAGACCCAAGAGTTTCATTTGTTTCGCACCATATGCTTGACCACAAATGGGTTCCATGCCCATGGCTAACCCCGAGATGACTGAGTAGCCGGTGATGTTTGCGAACCCGATAGAGAGAGACCCTCCTGCGAGCTCAAGCTCGCCGAGATACCCAAGGAAAAGCATGGAGATCATGGCTCTTGAGTACAGTAGTAAACCAGTCATGGCTGTCGGTCCTGAGATCTTTCCAATGGCTTTCATTTCCTCTAAGGCCTGTACAAAAACTTAAAACATCGATGAAACTTTTCTATGTAAAATGGAAGATGGAAATTTTGTTTTTGTGATGTGTTGGTAAAAAACGTGTATCCATGCATTTTAATTTCCAGATCGAAAGCATTTTTTTTTTTTTTTAAATTTATTTATGCTTTTGTTATGGGAAAAGCTTGTTACCTCAAAAGGGGTTCACTAAAAGTCTAAAACCAACTAAAATTGAAACTTATCTATAAATATTCATTGAAAAAAAGGATTGATAGCAGAATTAAACATTATTTTACAAGAAACCATTACGTATATTAATTTTCAATTACCGGAAAAGGTTGTTCCGTCAAAAGGGTGGCTAATACGAATACAGAAAGAACCTTTTCGATCGATCGATCTATGAAAATATTCAAAAGGAAAGTACTTAATTATGGGTTGTACCGTACAACAACTTGGTCCGTGCATTGCAATGAAATTTTTAATCATGGGAATTGAAAAAAGATTGTTACCTGAGAAGGGGTTGGCCATCCCTGAAGTTGGTGATGAGGATCTTCCATAGATTTTGGGGGTTTGTTGTTGAGATTCTTGAAAAGGGTATTCTTGGAAATGACAAATTTGGATGAGGAAGATTGTGTTGGGTTACACATGAATCAAAACTGTTGTTGTTTGGTAGATGGGGAACTAAACAATATTGAAGTTGAAAACCAAAAATAAAATATGTTGGAGATAGTGTGTATGTGTTTTGTGTTTGAAGATTACACATACAAACAGAAAGAAAGGTAATATGATAAAAATAAAGTTTGTGTTAAGTACAACCAGTAAGAAGCTTGTGTTTTGTCTTGTTGAGAGAGAGAGAGAGAGAGAGAGAGAGA